ATCTTTGCAGTATTGAAGGACACTGAATGTAAAATCTGATAAGTCAGATGCAGGGTTAATGTGAGGGATTATCTCCTAGTTGTGGGTAGAGATGCATGATTCACTCAATGTCAGTGGCTGTCCTGATGTGTGAGCATGTGACTACCCCATTTGCATCAAGAATATGCATTTAGGAAATGATGAGAAGCAGATATATAAACACCCACCCAGGTATATAGAATGCATGTTTGGATAAGGCTCCAAAGCAAGACATCCACTGTCTGACAGCAATTGACAAAGGTCAGAGTTGAAAAAAATGTAATGTTATGTACACTATAAAAATAATGTTTTTAAACATCAAATTTTGTGCTAATCAATTCTTAACTTTTGCTTTAAAGTGAGGAAAAATTAAAAATTTTCTCAGATAAGCTAATGTTTGTGTTGAAAAATGTGTGTCAATTTTTAAGCAATTTCATAAATCATTTCTATAGAATAATTTATGATATGTGCTATGATGAAATGCAGACAACTGATCAAATAATTTCATAAACAATATGAAATAGAAAATGAATCTCATTTATATAGTGAAGAGAATTCTCATTCATAACTCCAATTAGTATCTAAACAATTTTAAGATTATTGGAGGAACTTAGCAAGAGCAAAGTTGACAATATCGGAATTCTGCTGATGAAGATGGTGCATATTTATAAAACCAGCTGAACTTTTAACTTTTGAATTTAGCTGATTTAGTACTAGATTATTTGTATACATATGTTATTCATCTGTGGATATAGACTGAAACAGTGTGGACATAGAAATCAACAATTACTGACAATTTTATGCTTTAAGCAATCTTATATAAATATACAGGCAAGCAAAGAGACATCATCAGCATAGTTTTCTGGCTGAGACGGTAATACTAAGCAATGTACTACTGCATTAAATCAGAATTACCTTCATTTTATGTAGGAAAGGTTCCAGCACAACTTAGAACATGTATGAAAATAAACAAATTTGATGAATTAAAGGATTTTGATCTTACTCCACTCACCTCCAGTATAATGCTTGTGAAAATATACAGAAAATGGGGCCAGTTGGGAAAGATTGATCAGCACAGCTCTTGCACTGGAATCTCTATGATTGTAAGAATATTCCTATCCTGAATCTTTCAGTTCCTATCAGATTATTCAGTACAGCCTCTCTTAAGAGTTTGACAAAGAACCAATCAAAAGTTACAATTCTATATTTAACAGGATCAAAGACTGAAAACTACTAACACCCTTACCTTTGCACCCACCAAATTAAATGTTCAATCATATTTATAATGTACAAAAATTTATATGGCAAATTTAGAGGGTAACATTGGGACCTTCAGTAAAGTAACTACAAAAAAGCGATCACTTAATAAAATTATAACATAAAAGCTTTCATTTTCTATGACACACAACTTTTGTATCAACCAGTTATAAATATTTAGATGTAAAGTAGAGACATGTGCAAAAGGTTCAAGTATCAATTTGTAGGGGATTATCAATTTTTGTTAATGTTCTTTACTCCTCCTTCTCCTCCTCTTGAAGGAGACATGCTCACAATTAGCTACTCTCTAGATGCTTGCCCATCCCCTCACCCTGTGATAATCTTTTTATGTAAATTGCCTAAGTTCTCATAACCCAATATCAGTTTCACTTCTAAAAAAACAAAATGCCCAGTGTGAGGGTAGGCAAACTGTTGATCAGCATTAAATTAATTATTTTTATGAAATACAGCAATTAATATCTTTTCTACAAACTGGGATGACATCCAAGAAAGTTGTTTAATTTGCTGTTAAAAGTTTGATCAATAAATCGCAGTATTTCCCACATTACTTCATTTGTTAAATTCATAATCAATGCAGTTACCTTGCTATATGATAAAATTCAAAGACTTAATATTTACAATTCAAATTTCACATATACTGAAATATACAAAAAATATTTATTTCTTTAAATTGGAAGATTTACAAGAAATACATTAAAATTTGCACATGTGTTTTTGTAGCAGAAATGAACAGTTCTGTGTCAGTCTGTTTTGTTGATGTTCATATAGAAATCTGTTAGTTGCTTTTTCAGACCTACACACACACACACATACACACACACACAGAGTTTCTTAAAAGCCAAAATTGCTAACTCTATTCACATGGACCAATTTTATTTTGTTGATATTAGAAGCAGAAATGTTAACAGCAAATGACAAATGAATTAAGTCAAAGATTCAGAGAAAATAATATAAAATCACAATTGACATCTTAGATGGTAATGTATTCAATTCACTTATGTAATTAATCTTGTGTAGTATGTAACTCACTCCAGATTTTGCCAGAATAGACTTTGCACTCAGTGTCACATCAGACCATCAAATAAGTCAGGTGCTTGAAAAGATGACTCCTAGCTACTGGGTTCAAATCCATACTTAATAGAATATCAGTGGCAACCCTTGACATGTAACCATATGGTCAACACAGGTACACATGGCTAAAACTATGACAGGTAGATATATAAATACCCACCTAAGAGGGAAAAGAAGAGAGTCTTTTGCATCTTGGTGAGTATGTAGAACTCATGTTCTGAGAAAACTACAAAGTCATACACCCATTGGCTGACAATAGTTGACAAAGTCTGGAGTTGAATACAATGTAACATTATGTATAAGAGATTTGGTCTCATGTTTTTTATTATTCTGCATATGATAACATTACACTTGACTTTTGGAAGAACTGCTAAAAAACTTGGCCTACTGTAGATGCCTATCTTTTTGACAGTATTAGAAAGTTGTTAGGCAGTATAAGATTGTGAAGAGGCCATTAGGCTGGTTTTATGTTTAATAAGTAATGTGGAATAAAAATATTGATTCACTTAGTAATAAGCTAAATTATTACTTTGTTTTCACTTGACAATTCTAAGATTTGCCAAATTCATAGACATCATTGCAATTCTTGCAGAGATTCTGAAAGATAGTCATATTTGGCAGAAAAAAAATAATTCGAAGATAAATTCAAGTATGACCCAATCCAACAATTCCCAAATTGAAATCAGCCTTTTGGCAGATTGGTCAAGAGATAAAAGGTGACTGTAGATAAAAAAAAAAAGAAATAAAACCATCAAAACAAGGATTGTAGGAAGTGGAAACAATATGAAACCAGGTTTAGATAATTTATTGAAATCTTTTTTAATAGAAAATCTTTAAAAATATATTTCAAAGATAGAGGAAATTTGAAACCTATGTTACAATTGGGATTAATTTTTTTGATTAAGCCTACAACAAATAGTTATCAATAAGAAACAGTTGTTGATAACAAATTCAATGCCGCTCTTTGTGTCAAAATATTCAGTGTTAAAAATGAAAATTTGGTAAAGAAAAAATACATGGTTCTATTTAGCCAATATTCCTTTATTCATAAGAACCAAATTATAGAATATAAATTGATTGGTAGCTATGATCTGTAGGTTGAAATATTATGCAGGGATATTTTCAACTTTGCTGACTATTGGCAAAGTCCAAAAAGAAACCAGAAAAGATTTTCAAATTGAAGCAGTTGTCATTAAAAAAATGAAAAAAATTTTTTGCAAGTTGTAGAAGACATTTTAAGATTGCATAAATAATTTTTAAGATGTTTTCAAATAAAAAGCTTTGAATGCCATAAAGCTTTTCTTTCCATTTTTATGTTTTTGAAATCAATCTCCAAAATTTAAAAAAAGCAAAAGGTTGCATTTTGTCTGGGCTTCTTATAAGCCTTTTATCATAAATGTTGACCACAAATATTCCTAAGACCTGAGCAAAATGTAAATCAACAAAACATTTCCTAAAGAGAGTTGGGGTGGCAAAAAGTGAAATTAAAAAGAGATGTTTAAAGAGACTGGTAAGAAAAATGTTAACTTTCAAACCAGAGTTTTTCATGACATTATTTACATTGAAAAGGCAACACTAAATCCATAAGAGTTTTGAACTTTGCCAGCTCTAATGAAATTCTAATTTATGTCAGGTAACATTTCTTTTTTTTGACTTCTTACTGAACTTAAAGATAACTTTTACTGACCAATATTTGTCTTAAGATTTCTTTGCTTTATAAAGTAGACTGAAATATGTGGTTATTAGAGGAAATAAAAATTATTTCAAAACCCACAAGTTTCAGCAACATGGATACAACACTACATTCTTTTCTTGTTTGGCTAATTTTTCTTCTTTTACTCCCAGCAAAATATTTCATTTAATGTCACACATGCCAGCTTAAATGACTTATTTCAATTTCGAAACATTAGAAAAGTCTTTTGAACAAAGCATTAACCACTTAGACTAACATGCAATACTTCAATGTTCCTTGAGAAACAAATCAGATTTTCTTTTACCTTTTCTAAAAAAGCTAGAGAATTTCAAGAAACATTCCCACCAAGATTTGTTCTTGTTTTGATTGCTATTTCTTCTGTTTTCCATTGAAAATCATTTGCTTGACATGGTTGGCAGTGTTCGCATAGAACATCACAGTATGATAAGGGGCCAGAAAGATGATGATATAAAAAGCCAAAAAGCCAGTTGCACAACAATTGTTCACATCAGTGAATGATTAAACTAAAGGGATGGGGGCAGGGAGGAGTTAATTAAAAAATTGGAAAACGAAACAAAAAAATAAATAGAAGAAAAAAGAACAAACAATTGTCAATTATTTCAAAAAAGTACTAAATTAGAAAAAAAATATATTAATATGCATATAGGTTGATTTTTTTCCAATGTGAAAATGCCACATTTTGAGCATTGATGAAAACTCAAGAAGAGGTATCAAAAATACTACAGCTAAATACAGAGCATCACTTTATTGGGGACGTTTTTTGCATTTGTTTTTGTCTTTTTTTTTGTAAGGCAGCTTTGGTGTATGTCAATAAGACATGCCCATCACATAGAAAGGTGATGTTTTTTTCTTTTTCAGTTTCTTCCTTGCTTTGCATTATTAGTTAATAAAAGTCACACTCCTATATTGAGTTGGTTAGTTACGCAGGTCCAGTGAATCCCCGATTGTGATGACGACGCCCACCAATCTTTTTCATACACACTTGACATCGGCTAACACGGGTTCTCAAGCTGCCAGCTTTGAGAGTCTGCGGTTGTGGTGCTCGGAACTGCTGACTTTGTTCAATGGTGGTCAGCCAGAAACTGTATTTGTTAGCAAAATAGTGGCAAGTTCCAGCATGGCCACTGCACTCAATGAAGGGGGTTGCACGGAAGTCCTCCAGACAACTGCCAGGACTGGACAAGGATTGACCACCTCCACCTGCACCAGCCCCAGTATGCTGAGAAAGGGAAAAGAGAATGATATATTAGAAATGGCAAGAAAAAGAACCATAAATCTTTCAGGTTGACATTTGAATTTGTCATGATATTTAAAAGTGAAAAAGCTTTGAGAAGTATGGAGTTAAATTTAAAAGTTAGTCAAAGTTGGTGAAAGAAAAATGATTACTTTGGAATATTAGTAAGCATGTAGCTATCTGTGCCTGTGTAGCAAACAAACAATTCACTGTGTACTTTTATATGGTCTATATTTAATCCTTCAGTAAGTGGATATGGCCAACAAAAAAAAAAAAAAAAAACATTTTAATCTGAACTGACAGTTGATCATATATAAAAATTGGATTCTCTTGCCAGTGTCTGGTAATAAATGTCACTGCTAACAAAGAAAAATATGCAACAATTTTGAGTTGAGATTGTATATTAAAGAACAAAAACAAAAAAAATTGAAAACATACCATAGCAAAGCTGTATCCAATCCAAAGACCTTCCCATCCTTGAGGACAGTCAGGCAAATTAAGGGTCTGACTGTGGACGGCAATAACATTAGTAGAACTGTCACACACAGCACATCGACTGATGTAGGGTGGGATTTCATTTTGGCCAACTGGCATCATTGGCATTGGAGCATTTGTAGACAACCAATAGGATTTGTCATTGCGACTAGCATAGTTGCATACATCATTGAAATCACAAAACAGGAAAGGCATTGTTGAGAAACGCTTGATACATGATCCTGCCCAACCTACAAGCACAATTTCAAAGAATAATAGTAAATAAAGATAAGTTATAAAATCAATTGTAAAATGACTTTAAAAAAATAGTCAAACCACAGGATGCTCAATGGTTTATTTACAAAGATATTACACTGAATGTCAACATATTACTAAAAATCACAATTAAATGAATGATCAATAAAAATCATGCTAAAATAAAAACCCAGGTAGACAAAAATTGGTTTATTACATGTGTTTTGGAATTTAAAAAAAAAAAAGAAAAAGAAAGAAAAGCTCTAAGAATACCATTTTTGTAATTTAAAGACAATATAAATTTTTTATATAATAAGATCAAAATGTTCGTAAAAAAATATGAATGTTGGTTCCAAACATAGGAATGACTGTTAAAAACATCTGCCTCCTCAAATTAATAGAAAAATCCTAAAGATGCATGCTAGAATTTCTTCCAAACTAATAAAAATGGACCACTTCTCAATTTCATCCACCATATTTTTTCTTTCTTGCCTTGAAGTCAGAATGCTACAATCACTTGACTGCATGTAAACACCATTCTTAATTTGTGAAAACTTTTTGCCTTATAACTGTTGCTTTGCATAGTTTTGTCTTGCATATATATTGTTTGCTTAGTATTATTTTGTCCTGTTCTTTTTCTTCCTTTTTTATTAGAAACTTTGTCAATTCCATTCTATTTGTTATGCATTTTTGCCAATTAAACTTAATCATGGCCAATTACTCCACAAATGATCATTGGGTACCTACCTAAATCTTGGTGATGTGATCTTTCATTGCCCTCCAAATATAGCAAACTGTAACCATCCCAAAGTTTTGTGAGTCCATCTGGACAAACAGGAACTTCTGTTGTTTGACTATGTCGGGCAAATAAGAACCCAACTGCTGCTGATCGACCAGCGGGGCCCCGTGGGCCAGGAGGACCCATCAAACCAGGTGTACCTAAATAACAAAAATGAAACAAAACAAAAATTTGGGTATCACAGATTTTCACAAGGAAAGAATAATATTAAAAAAAAAATTATTTCTAGGTTTAATGCTACAAAATTTTAAAAATATTTAATTTTTTACAATAAAAAATTGCAATATAACCAAGATGATTATAAAAAAATGTTTATTTTAAATAAATAATTTTTCTTTAAAAGAAGGAACTGTATTACTATGTCTGATAGATCCCATTAGAGTTCCTGTTTGTTAACAAGGACAATGTGAGACAAGTAAGCAATAAAGAAATTCTTCAATTATGAAAATGAGTTTTTCTTCACAATACATACATAACTGCATAGCCAGTTTATAATTTTTCTTTATAAAGACAAATTCATCTGAAACTGATTTTAAAAACGGATTTAAGATTTAAGAAATTGAAAATTGTTAATTTAATAATTAGCTATTTATCTTTGCTCATAAAAGTAATTTTTTTCTCTTACCTGGAAGTCCAGGTTTTCCTTGCAGACCAGGTCTTCCATCGGCACCAGGCAAACCTGTTAGACCAGCTTCACCTGGTAAACCACGTTCACCTGCCAAACCAGGCAGTCCAGGATTTCCTAGAATTATCCAGATTTAAAGATGAGTTAAGTGTTTAAAAAAAAAAAAAGACTCAAATTGTATTCATTGAAAAATACAACTATTGTTAAAAGATAATACTAACATTATTATTTATATATTAAATATTTATATATCTATAGTAAGCCATTAAAATATCAGTTGCAGCCCAGAAGTAAATATGTTTTTAAAATTTTGAATTTTATGCACTCATTCAAAAGCAGTCGACAAGGTTTTTCCCAACTAACAAATCATCAGACACTTGCTCAATAAAGATTACTAATTGATTAATGCATGGATAATTGTGGTGTGGACAGAGCACAATGCATAACTTATAATAATTGGCCTGAAATAATTTGGTAACTTAATTTATTAGGATGAACAGAAAAAATTTGTATTTTCCTTAAACCTAACTCAGTAAAATACTTAAGAGAATTAACATAAAGAACTTTTTTGTCGTGAAGTGATTTTACAAAACAGGAAACTTGCCTTATTTTTTTTCTATCCAAATAAATACCATATGTTGTATTAATGTCTAATTTTTCTTGGATGAATTGCAAAAAGCCCCAAGAAGACAAATTTTAATACGTAGTACATTTATTCTCTTTTTATGCTACTCACCCTGACTTTTACTTGTTTTTTTTTATTGTTCTTGATTTTAAATATTTTCAGGAATTTTTTTCTGGTAGAATTTTCTTTTTTTAAATAACAGCCTTGTTAGATGGCTTTTGTATTCTTTATGTAAAAGTAATGACTGACACCAATGAATCACTGATGAATTCAGAATGACTTTTCAGATGAATCAAATGTTTGCCACAAATTTCACCCTTTCAACATTTGGTTTCTCTCACACAATTTTCTTCACGCAGTTTTTAAACAACCAATCAAAATGATTCTTCCTACCTGGGAGGCCAGTATCTCCTTTCAAACCTGGGAAGCCAGGAGGTCCAGTTAAACCAGGCAAACCTTTGTTTCCTTTGGGTCCCATAACTGCAGGTCCAGGTTCACCTGGTCGACCAGTGTCTCCTCTTTCACCTTTAAGACCTACAGGCAATTATTCAATTTTTGTTAAATTTATTGGGCATGAAAAGATAGTTAAATTCAAAATAATACAAGATGTATAAAGTTTAGTGGAAAGAATATTGCTAGGTATAACATACAGAAAGTGGTCAACATGGATCAGGAAATAAATCCAAATAAGAGATATCATAAGCCCTTCAATGACAAAAATGAAGGCAAGTAAGACACACAGCAAGAAGAAAGGATAAGGGATATAGGAAAAAGTTGTTTGATTATTGCTTAATAGATAGCAAATGCAGGTGGAAAATTTTCAAATTGTTTTGTTGAATATATTGGGCATGAAAAGATAGCAAAATTTAAAAATAATGATCATTCCCTAAAATCTTGTTAGGACAGATGATAAAATTAGAGGACGGCTATGAAAATGAAATAAAACAACATAATGACTGGCTGGGAAGCATTTAGTAAGAATAGAGACATAATGAAAAACAGTTTGCAAATTTAATTAAAATATGTAAAGTGTATAATAAATATATAATACCATCAATGATTTGTATGTGAAAAGTGGAAATTAACAACATTGATTGCAAAAAAACTGAGAAATGTACAAATATCAACAGAAAAAGTAATTTTAGAGATAACTGTAAGATATAGAAAGAGGCCAACAAAGATTGAAGAATAAAATACTAAGGGATTAAATGACAAAAATTGATGTTGACAGAACAGCTGGCAAAAAGAGAGGATAACAGTTGGAGCAAAAGGTTGATGGAAGAATACCTAATAGATAACAAATACACTAGTATAATAGAGAGAAGATGAGTTGGGGGTGTTGGTAAGACATGGCAGAGGATAGCAAGGAGTTGGGAATAGATTTTGTCCAGACTTCTGATGATTAATGATGATAGAATAAAACTGATGGATCTGAAAAAAATATTTTCTTTACTGCTTCTTGTTACAACAGGAGCACAAAAATAACATTCTACAGCCTATTTGCTTTTAGTATCATGGAGAATGCATTTAGATTATGACAGTGCAAGTTGTCTTTTATACAAAATATTTCAAAGTTATATTTTATTTTGTCTTTTTTTTTGCTATTTTTATCATTGTTTTAGTTCTTCAATTTTTTGTACATTAGTTAGGTGGACAAAAATTGATTTACTAGTAAAAAAGCTCATCAAAAATAGATAAAAAATGAGTGAAAACATTTGGAATCTTGAAAATGCCTCATCAGAAAAACAAGAGTATTAATCAAGAAACAAAGTTAGAAAATAAGATGGAAGATATTCCTATTTATTCATAACAATTATGGTAAACCTAATTGGTTAGGACATTTATATATTCATAGTATCCTCCCTGGTCTTTTAAACAGGAGTAGAGGTTTATTTCTTGTTTCCCATTTAGGATTGAGTTTCCACTTCCTGCTAAAGTCTGTTTCAGCTCTATAGTCCTAATGTTTGTTCTTTCCTATGCTAATATAAGTCTACACAGTAACCCTCTACCTTGAGTGGCTCTTGGGCCTTGTAAAAAAGAAAAGTATCCATTAAAAATACTAGCTCTTCCTGTATAGAATAGAAATTATCCAAAGTTACTTCTTTATTCAAAAACTGAACAATTGAATAGCTAAAAAAAAGTTTTAAATAAAAAACATGAAAATTATCTAGTTGTAAATGAATCCAAATATTTTTAATTGAAGATTTGATAAAATTAAGTAACCAAATAAATGTATACATATTCTAGTTATAAACTTCTGAGAAATTCATGTATGAATAGGAAATATTTGCGAAAGATGTTTTTTCTTTAGTAAGAACAGAGATCAAAGGAAATTAAATTTATTGAAATTTTCAAGAACAATTCTCAGAGATGACATAATAAAGTAATACATACCACTTCGTCCATTTTCACCAGGTAAACCACTTAGTCCAGAATCACCTTTTTCACCTGATAAACCAGGTAATCCAGGTAAACCAGGTTCACCTTTAAGACCATCTAATCCAGGTTGACCTTGTAGCCCAGGCTCACCTATGTAAAAAACAAAAAAGTCATTTTTCAGTTTTTATAAAATTCAGTTGAAACATGTTAATTTTTTTTAAGTTATTATTCAACTTAAGGTGACAAAAATTCTGTGGTCAAAAACAGAAATCATTTAGTCTTTTATGAAAAGGATTAAAGATATAATCTTTATTTTCTCTCATTATTAAAACAATAAGAATAATAAAAGAAAAGTTTATGGAAAGATTAATTCCACAATAATTTTTGTATCAAATAAGTGTTTCTATTCTGAAAATGAGCATGTGAAAAGAGTTTGGTCTCCTATGCAACAAGCAAATTTAGGGTTGATTGTTAATTCAGAAAACAAGTATCAATGGGATCTCATCTAAATATGGATAGGTGGGATTTAATAACTATAGTTTTCTTTAGATTAATCTTCATCTTTTTTGTTTTTCGCATAATTTCAGTTATTTACCTAGTATTCCTCAGATGTCTGCTGTAGTCCAGAATATTGTTAAATATGAAAAAAGATGTCCTAGTTAAACAAACATCTCTAACTTTACCAATCAGTTGACAGAAAAGAAATTGCAACATCCTGAACATGTGCTTCAATTTACTCAAGATTAAAAGTACAGGCAATGCCTTAGCTGGATTACAAGAAATGATCATATATAGATATCAATAGAGGCACAAGTTCTATTCTGCTAGAATGGCACATTACCTTCCCTTTTTAGGAATGGCAGCAGAAGCAGGACATTGTTCTACATTCCTTTCACAAGCAACAAATGAGAGGAAGAGTTGTACTTATAACTGCTCACACCATTATGTCACAGGTTAGACCTTTGTTTCACAGGGAAATAGGTACTGGAAGATGTTACTCCCAAGGCCTATGTCCCAGACACAAATGGTTATCACTTTCATGAACACAAAACCTCTCTTATCACATACCACCATTCCAGATGACCCTTTTAAAATACCTGATACTGTGTTGTGGTGTAGGTGAAAGTCTAGCTGGAGGCATGCATGCCCACAGTCCTGCTGTATTTAAACAATTCTCAGTGATTCATTTTAACACTCTTGGAATGACATTTATTTTTATCTCTGATGTGGATGCTGAGGAGTATGTTACTAATATCTTTACAATGCATCCATCTTAGCAAATGTCTGTACTACATGACCATTGAGAATCTCATCTATGTATGTAGGAATGTTCATTTGACCACTGTTGTCAACATGCAAGCAATATATCATATCCAATATGCCTAACATTTCTCTGAAATAAATATCCAGCTTTTTGAAATTCCACAATCTTATTCTTAAATTCTCTATTTGAACAAAAGGAGCACATGACCTCCTACTTGAACCCTGTTCCTTCACTACAATGAACCTTGTTGCAGGATGCATCATCAACTAAAGTTCAAATGCAGATGCTGTACTGGTATGAATTACTACCCGACAAGATGGTCAAAAACAGAAAATTTGATGAGAATATCTATTACTCTCCAGCATGTACAGACCATATACAGGTCAAAATTAGCATTGTCCTTCAGAATGTTGCAATTTCATTATCTCTTAGTGTATTTATTGTAGAAAACCAATCTTATCTCTCAAAATATAACTTCATTTTCATGAAGATTATTTTGGCAAGTTAACTTTTATCTATACTAGAATTTTATGCAACCTGTTGACATGTTTTTAAATCCTCACAGTATTTAGTATTGTTGAAGTTATCACTAACAATTTTTGTAAAGATTTACAAACTATGTTTCATTTAATTTTGCAAACCAAGTGATGAAATTTGCATAAGCTGATTTATCTTAAAAAATACTTTGACAAAAACCCTACTTTGCAATTTAATAATTTCTTTTACAGAACTTCATGATAAACAATATTTAAAAAAATTTTTTTTTTTCCTTTTTATTTAAAAAATACAACTGGCCATGAGTAAATATTTTTCTGGAACAAAATTCCAACTTTTTTGAAGTGTTTTCAAGATTTGTTTATAGTTCTTTTTTTTCTTTATATATATATATATATATATATATATATATATAATAATAAATTCTTAAAAGATATTTCTTGCAACTTGTTTTTCGTAAGTATTTTTTATTTGAAGCATTAAATTGTTTTTATAATACTGAGTATTTTGTATGTTATATAATAAAACTTTTAGTTTTTTCCAAAATAATTAATAAAAATTTATTTCTTATGCACCCTAGTAAACAAAAATTCCAACCAGTTTTTCCAAATTTGTTTCAATGCCTCAATGCTATTTTTAGGTTTATAAGTTCTAACAAACACAGAATTTTATATGTAGATAAATGAAAAGATAAACCAACAAATGAAAACTGGATATTTACAAAACAAGCTAAAGATGAAGTGGATATATAGTGATGGATTTTAACAACAATAATAAACCAGTTAATCATTGCTTCACAAGAAGGCATCAAATTTGTATATTTAACTGATACCTTGAAAACTGTAGGGAGGTTTTTAAGCTGATAAGCTTTCATATTTCAGGGACTATCATTATTGTATGTTGCCTTTGCAATCCAAATGAAACCCAATGCACACAAACTTATTTTTTTCATGTGACACCTCAAGATGATGTAATTGTAGGCCAAATTTGTTAATAAAGTGTCCAACTTTAGTTCATTTCCATTTCTAATCAAGAGATATGAACTTACCAGATAATCCTGGTAATCCTTTCTCTCCTGGAAGACCATCATTTCCTGGGGGGCCGGGTCTTCCATCTGCTCCTTTTACACCATCTCGTCCGGGAAGACCATCCAAGCCAGGTGCACCAGGCAGGCCAGGTTCACCTGAATTTTAATAACAATGGTTGGATGCATGTTTGCTATCATGCAAATTGGAAAGATGATAAACAGGAAAACTATCCAAAAATAGAAATTTCAAATTTTGTCTAATCTGGTGTTTTTGATTGCAGTGTGTCAATTACTCATTAACAATTTTACTAATGCTTACAAATAAGGAATAATAAAAGAAATAATAAATTCTTAAAAATACTAAAAAATTGAATAAAAATTAAGAATTCTTATTCTTTAAATTGAAAATAATATTTCTTGATTGAAATTTTTTATTAAAATTTCATAAAACCATAATGTAAACATTCTGAAGCAGCATATTTACTGCATGACTAAAAGTGACTAATTAGTCAAAGAATAATCACCAATAGCAACTCAGGAATCAAGATTATAAAAGTAATGATGTGGGTTATGAAAAATTCAATTGAAAGAACTATTGCTATTATGAAAGACCAAAAAATTTTATAAACAAAAAGTCTTTTAATTTTTGAAAATGTTTTCTGCTTATTTTTTAACGTCTACCAAAAAATAAGTTATTGAACAGGATTGTTATGAGAGCAATAAGGTTTCAAATTACAACCAGCAAAACCAAGAGTAATGTTTTGCTTATTTTTGCTATGAAAGAAGCAAAAAGGCACTTACCTTTTGCACCAGGATAACCAGGTTCTCCTTTAAGTCCAGGTATTTCTGAACGAGATCGACTACCTTTTTCACCCTTTTGTCCTTCAATTCCATTTAAACCGTTGGGACCTAAATGAAAATAATCACTTTAATAATCACTGAGTAATTTAATAGCAAGATGGAAAATAATTCTCCTACATTAAGCATTTAATCCTTTGAAAAGATTTCCTCAGACTATTAATAGTTTTATTGATGGAGTCTTATGGGTGGGAGAAGAAATATAACAAATGCAACTTGCCATTTTACATCAAGAAATGCTGAAGATACATGGATGTGTGATGCTTAGCTTTAAAATTTTGGTGTTCAGTGTATCTAGATGCATAAACTCTTTCAGCTTTCTATTGCTTTTGTGTTTATTTTTATTGCTATCATTTTTATTTATCCCATATTGCAGTGGTTTTGCAATATGTTGCATTATCCTGGACATAAATTCACGATAGAGGAACCTTTGTTCTAAGAGAATTGAATAAACAATTTTATATACAAGAGGTTTAGTTTCCTGTTCTTATTAGTCTGTACAATTGCATTTCAAAGTAGTTAGTAATCTAGTCTATGTAGTGAATTTAATAGTCTCTGAGTGCTCCACACATGTAGCCTTATACAAAAAATAAGCTGAATAAATAATTATTAGTACAAGCATAGATATTTGTGAACAATGGCCCCTATAATCATGTTAATATTTTACATTATCAACTAATATATATATTTAAATAAGTTAGTTTATTGGCTCTAGTCAAAGTTTTAATAGCCTGGATAAAGAAAGAGGTTTTTACATGTGCTCACCCTCTCACTATTCTCTATTGCCAGTGATAAGATATCTGATGATGGAGTTGGGCGTAGGGAATAGTAGATTCATGCCTTTCCCAAAAACATTATTGCTAAGTGCACATAAAAAAACCTTAAGGGAAATGTGAATCTGGTTTATTAATTTAGTTTTCTATATTTGTAAACATTCTGGTCAATGGATGTGAAGAGGATATAAAATAAAAAATTTAAAAAAATTAGTTTCACTCTCTCTGACTTGTAGAAATGAACTTAGCCAGATGATGTTTGTTTGATGTAATAGGTAAAGAGATAGTGTGTCTTTGGTAAATATGGAATGCATTTTTTGATTTCAAAACGTTTGTTGTAGCCAAAAAGATTAGGCACATTATCTCTGAAATAAAAACTGCTCTAAGTTTTTGTTGTTTTTTTTGGAAATAGAAGCAAAAGTATACAAGGAATATGTGAATTCCAGACAGTGGCATGTGAAAATGGTGAACATCGACAGGAGCAAAAGTGACAAACAAAGATGATAACTGTTCAAATAACAGAAACATTACATTAAATCATACCACAACTTGATGCCAATTGAACCATCTGTTAAAACATTGTATAGTGTAAATTATATCCTATGAGGTTTTATAGTTATCAACTAACAAATTGATGCTATGGTGTCACATCACAAAAGACACTTCATTGCATTGTATTATATATATATATAAATATATATATATGAATAAAAAGAAAGAACAGTAAGATATATAATCCAGTGTTCTTATTGATATTTTTTATTTTTACAAAACAGTGTTCAATGGAAATTTACATGTGTTTAACAGATGTCAGTATTCGTTGAAAAATACATCCCTACCCTCCCTAAACTTAACCTCTTTTTCGAATGTAACTCATAATTGATACAACAATAGTTAATAAAAATGAACATGCTAACGCCCTTGTCTGAATGATTGGATTTCTCTGTATCCTTGGAAACAGGAAATTATGAATTTATATGTGTATTTAAAACTCAGTAAATTTTAAAATAAGTTTTTCCAAAATTCACTTGAGGATGAGACATAACTAATGCTTTTAATTTAATTATATAATTAAATTTGAAGTTTTTAGCTTCAGTTTTTGAAACATGGTTATTACTGAGTAGCGAAAAAAACATTTTAAATATATTTATATATATATATATATATATATATATATATATATATATATATTTTTCAAAACATATTTGGTTGAATAATGTGAATAAGTTCTAACAAATTTTTTTTTTTTTATCCATATCATTTTTTTTATGTAAATCAGTAAATTTGCTAAAATTCATATATATTTTATTTTACATTATTCCCCTCTCCTTTGTACTTTGGAATATTGCTACACTCATTTACAAAGATTGTGTTTCATTTATGTAATTTCTTTTGGTTAATTCCGGCATTCTCATGTTTGCTGGAAACAATTTCAAGTTACTCAAAGTGACAATTTAACAGTCTAACTAAAAATTTTATTTGTATTTTTAAACTATGTATATTATTCAACTAAACAGGTTTGGAAGGTGTATTTCAGCAGTAATAATTGTGTGTGTGTGTGTGTGTAAATATTTAACTCAAAATTACACTACATTTAAGTTTCCTATGAAAAAATGCAAGAGCCCACAAAATCAATGAATAAATGACTCCTAAAACTAGTTTCAGAACATGGCATATACCTTAATGTTATTTTTATTACTTTGTCATTACGATTATAGGATAGAATAATAGATATTTTACTGCCAATGAGTGAAGCACAAACAAGACAACTTCAAATAAATGCCACTAAATTCAGTAGATACAAAAAAACTTTTTCAATATTGTACAAACACAGTCTAAAATTAAATAAGTGGTTTCTGGAACTTGATTGCATATGACAAGTTCTGATTTTCTCTTTATGACATCTGCAAAGTTGAACTCCAAATGACCTGCAAATAGGTCAGGGCACAGGTTACTAAGTACATTCCTGTGTAAAACTCAGACAGAAATTCAGAACTGACACAAAACAAAAACGGCTTATCAGCAACAGTCAGAACTAGATCTGCAAAACAGAACAGTTAGCAAACCAGCCTGGCCTCAACATATGTTACCATGACAATTATTCATTCAGCCATGATTTTCTCACATACAATGCTGTGGTAAAGTAAGTCTTGTCTCAACTCTCCCTGTTCACTGTGTTTTAAAATTACTGCTAATGCACACAATTAGCCAGATGTTTCATTAGTGTGTGCACACACACACACACACACACACACACATTGGTGTACATATCATTTCAAACTTTGCAGACTCACTTGCAACAATTCACTTTGAACACTTGAACTATTGGTCTCTTCATGGCCACAACAAAGACAATTGAATTCTAATATGTAAATATCTGTATCTACTGTATAAATGTTAATGCCATATTTAGCTTGGTCTTCTTTCTTTTCTGTGAAAATTATTTCTTTGCACTGTTTATAATCTTGTATTGTAATTTGTGGACATGACAGTTGGATTTTATTTTTCCACCTAAAATCTGCGTAGACTGTCCCCACACAAAGATATTTTCAATTTTTATTCAAAACATTTGTTCATACAATTTTTTATGCACCTTCCATAATTATAATTTTTAATTACAACATAATTAATGACGAGAACAATTATTTTTGTGATATTCTTGCTCCGAAGTCTTGAGTCAGCGTTGCCATGACATTACTGCAGTTACTTCTGACAAAAAGCCAATATCAAAGAATTTTAAGTAGCCTATGTCAATAAATATGTATTTTGTCCTCAGCAAATGGACTTTCAGCATTATTTTGAAGTTCCATTAGCTGAGGACAAAATACAAATATAAAATATTATTAATATTTTTGACAACCCAAAATATTTTATTAATCTTCTTTAAATTATGGCACAAACATAAAATTATTTAGAGTAAATCCTAAGCAATTTATAAATTTTTTCCTTAAAAAATACAAATACTGAATTTTATCTGTTCCTTATTTTCTTGTACTATTGAAAGAATTTTTAGTGTAAATAGTCTATAAATTCTCAATGTATGTGTAATATATAATTTTGGTCATCATTCATAAATGAGGGGCTTTACTTTTGGTTTGATTACAAGATTACCAAGCAAACAAAATAGACTGAAAATTTTTTCTTTAACCTGACCTTGTTCTCCTTTGTCTCCCTTGGGTCCAGTGTTTCCAGTGAAGCCTCTTTCGCCTTTGATTTTAGCCAAATTTAGTGGGCCTGTGAAAAAAATTTAAAAAAAAAAATATTATGCTGAAATTCTTGCTTCTTACACATTCAATAATAATGAAAACAAATAGATTTGGGTTTTTCATATAAAACAATCCCAAAGGATGCCAGTTATAAGAGTATAATGAACTTACCCAACATAAAAGTAAAAATGTATTGGATTTAAAATCTATACAAAATCAAGGTAGTTATAACATCTTCTTAAGAAATTATGAACAAAAACTGCATCTATGTCATCCCATGCAGCTGTACTTGGGAAAGCAGGTATGGATGAATAGATGGTGAAGAGGATATTATCAAAAAATTATTAAAAATGAATAAAATTGATCACTAAAGAAGCAACAGAAATGGGGAGAGGGAATATAGAAAATGATTAGTATTCAACCAGTATAAGAAAGGAACAGCTAAAGTTTTCCTTTTGCCTCCACAGGGTAGGTCTTCTTAATTTGATTGATACCACTTCAACAATTCTCAGTATATTCTGAGAATGTACTCTGTGTAATATGTTGAACCAATTTTCCCAATATTCACTTGCACACATAGGATTGTTGGCTAATAGCAGACTCTAGAGCCGACTGAGTCAGATGTATTAAACTGTGCAACTCCCCGATCTTATATAAGCCAGAACATGCTGGGTAATCCTTAAAACCAGGTGTAGACTGGTTAGACCCACATAGTCGGCATTGTAAAAACACTTAAATTAGTAAACAATTGAGCATTTTGAAAATTGGCAGATCTTGTCCTTCTGAAAGGAAGGAAGAAAACACTTGATAGAGGAAACAACTCACATTTTAGTGACTAAATAGGACTCATAAATATAGGATTTTATCTGGTCAAACAATAATTGACTACTTTTACTTATCCAAGGCAGTTTTAGATAGATGGGACATTTATTAGGACCCTGCATGGAAGGAGAATTAAATTTGAAAATTTTACACAAAGATCCACATAAGAACATCCTCTAGATAATGATTATCTGGAAGAATACCCTTAATCTTATGCAACTTTTGTTCCAACTTTTCAGGGGAACAGATCATAAGAGCATAATGTACCAAGTTATGTACCAAATTATTTTTTTTTACTTTTTAGTATAAATGATTTCCAATCAGTGTAAAAATCTGTAAAGGTAGGTTTTCAATATACACTATTAGAAAACACATTACCAGATCTTTCCATAAGAACATCCAGAAAAGGTAAGGAGCCATTACTCTTCTTCTTTATTATAGTAAAACTCAAGGACAGGTACAAAGACTCAAGTTGATCAAGGAACTTAGCCTCATGTTCATCACCAAACAATGCAAATGTATCATCTACATATTGATAATACAATCTTGGTCATTGAACATTTCAAATAATTGATCTTGGAATCCTGCAAAGATATTGGCCAACAATGGATCTAAAGGGCTGCCCATCATGACACCATCTATTTGACTATACATGTCATTGTTGAAATTAAATTCAATATCTCAGTAGAAAAAAGCAACAACTCCTTAAAAATATTTTTAGGAAACTGAGGTGTACTGAGATGACTACAATAAAGGGCATTGACATAAATATTAACTGTTTCTTCAAGGGCTACATTAGTAAATAAACTAAAAATATCATATGAAACTACAATCCCAGAGGAAGAAGCTCCACTTAATTCCTGAATCATTCTAACAAAATAAAAGGAATCAGGAATGCAGTTGTTTGAATAAAGTTTTACTTGCTCCAAGATCTCTGCCAACCATGCTGCACTGAGTCAATGATGGACAAAATTGTCCTAAGAGGCACTCTCTCCTTATGGATTTTAGGCAGACCATGCATACATGGTCATTGTGCACCCACAATATATATTGTAAATTTTGATATTTCTTTTCTATAAACATCACTTGCTATATTTCTTAGTAACTTTAAACAGTTCATAAATTTCAATTGTTGATTTTCAGATTCTTCAGCTCATTGATAAAGTCTCTTTGTTTTGACAAAAAGCAAATATTTTAAGAGGATACCAAACAGGAATTTTTAACTCAAACATTGAGTCCATTCATCAAGAATAAAATTGTTTAAGACTGAGATCAGATAAATAAGTTATTTTTCAAAAATATAATTTTATTACAATTATTATTCAACTTTTAGCTCAAATACTAAGAGTAATATTCTTGATTTTAATAAATTTCCACAAATTTATTTTTCAGTTTATTTGGTTTTCTTGTATCAAAAATTTTTCTGAGGTTAAGAAAATGATTTTAAAAATCCTATAGATTCTTCATTTCTTTATAAACATTTTCTCTTATCTTTTAACATAAACAAAACCTGTGTAGTTCCTGAGTTTTTGCAGTTATCTTCTTGGTCTTTTCACCTGATTGGCAGTTTCAGATTGTTAGTGAATGCAAAAAAAGCCTCATTAAAAGTCCCTAATGGCATGAATTGTTTTCCCTATTTATGCTATTGTAATGGAGAATCAGGCCAACCTGACAAGAGACTCAGAGTTGGTTGCATGTGGTGCAGTAAGCACCAGGAGTTTACATCCTCTTTCACAATTGGCTGTTGAGAGAGGACATTCTACTTTGAGTAGATTGCACTGACACAAATTGCATATGAATGATACTGGACAGATAGTCAGTGTACGTGTGGGACTGAGAGAGCTATGTAACAGTTTTTTCTCAGTCAGGGAAGAGTGCTATTAGTGTGTGGACTGTTGGAGTTTTGCATCAGTTGAAGTTTGAATTTACTCAGCTTAGAAAACCAGGCAAGATGAACAGTTATTATTGCTTCAAATTAATCTTCAAGTGGTTTTTGAATTCTTGAAGCTATACTGTTTTCTTAGAGTGTTTCAAGACTTGAATAGTGTTGATGACAATCCTCAAAGATTTCAAATAGGTTTTGAAAATGCCATAGTTTTTTGTTTTTTTTCTAATCTTGTACTTGTTTCAGTAATACTAAAATTATGTAGTAGTTGTAGTCATTTTATTCTTAACCAATAAGTTATATTAAAATGTAAAAGAATAAATTAAGAGACTATTATAATTACCTTCATCTCCTTTTTCACCTGGAAATCCTCTGTCACCTTTATCTCCTATTTCACCTGCAAAATAAAAAAAAGAGCTTTAAAAAGTTAGTCCAATTTTTAATCAGCATTTTGTTATTGAAAAAAACTTAAAAAATAAAATGTCCTATTTACTGTGTTGTGTAGTTACATATAACCCATCACTGATAAACATGAAGAAAAATAGATAATAATCATGTATACAAGGGAATGTATATAAAAATCAAAATAATCCCCAGCAACAGCAAAAAAGATTTTGTTAAAAAATTTCTATTTTGGTAAACTGTTATTTTCAAACTTCATTAGGTACTAGAGTCAAATGCAACTCTACTTGACTATTCTATTCTTATAATTAAATTTCATCATTTAAAATAAAAGTTGAAAAATAATCTTCAAAGAAGAAATAATATTTTTCATTAAAGAATTTTTAAAGAGATGAATGTAATAAATATGGACGTCCATTGTAATATTGACATGATTTTTGCTTGATCTTTTTAGAATAATAAAATTATAAATCATGAAACTCACATAGAAAAGTGATGTAATCAATGTGGAAAAAAAAAAGGAAAAAAGTAAAATTCACATTACCATCACTTCCTGGGAAACCAGGAAGACCACTATTTCCTTTTTCTCCAGGTAAACCAGGAAGTCCATCAGCTCCAGGGATACCAGATGTTCCAGGTAAACCAGAATTACCTATTGATCAAATATAAAATTGAATACAATTTTTTATGTATCAGTGCACATTAAGCATATTTTAACTAAAAGAAAAATATTTACAGAAAGCAATTTATTCTGATTTAAGTAAATCTATTTCTAATGAAATTGCAGAAAGGTTTCTAGCATTGAAAAAGAGATACTTAATTCAGAACCATTCATTGTGAGCAACTCTTAAGTGTTGTTGGCAATAATGAGCATTTCCAAACATGGCAAATTCAAGGTGTCATTATTCGCACAGAAATATTCAAAATTTTCTAACAATAGAGAAGAAATCAAGTTGATGATAAATATAGGAAGATTATTTTAATTTAATTAATGTTTTTGCTGTGACATTTAACCAGAAAACATTATCAGTTTCTTTTCACAGACCAGACACTTTTTTCAATCTTTATAATTATTTTGTCTTACAGAATTGAAAACTGTTGACACTAAATACTATGTTTGGTCCAAGGACAACTATTATTCTCCTTGGGTGTTGCATTGTTTTTCATTCTCTCTAAGTGTCACACTGTCTTTCACTCTCTCTCTTTCTCTCCAAGTGTCATAGTGTCTTTCACTCTCTCTCTCTCCAAGTGTCATACTGTCTTTCACTCTCTCTCTTTCTCTCCAAGTGTCATACTGTCTTTCACTCTTTCTCCCCAAGTATCATACTGTCTTTCACTCTTTCTCTCTTGAGTGGTGCAGTGTATTTTTCAAATATCACAATATATTTATCTAGCTCATTACAACTGCAGAGTGTGGCTTTCTCAAGTGTAAAATGCTTATCTTATTTGATAGCTATCATCATTATTATTGTTGTTATATTATTTTGATGATTATTATTTTTAGTTTTTGCTGATATTTAAACAGTGATTTCAATATATAAAACTCATAAAACTCACCCCTGACCTAATATTTCATGCTGCATGAATTTTATATAAAAAATGATTATTTGCTAAGTTACCTTTGGCACCTGGGAAACCATCCAAACCACGATCTCCTTTCATTCCAGCATATCCACGTTGACCAGGTGGTCCCCGAGGTCCACTTTCTCCCTTTTCTCCAGGTAGACCTGGCAAGCCATTAGTGCTAGGTTCTCCTTTCAGACCAGGTAAGCCATCTTGACCAGGGAAGCCTCTGTCACCTGGGTACAAATACAGAAGAAAAAACATTGTATTCACACAAGATTTTTGCAAAGATAATTATTCCCAAGAGATTGATGTTGAATAATTTTTTTATTAAATAAATACAAAATATTAAACAAAACCAGTAAATTAAAATAGATGCTTCAATTATGTGATTAATTTTATTATTGCCATTTTCATGATTACTAGTTTTATCAAATTATTATAATATATGATTTATAAATATGATGAATGTGATTTTATGCCTTTAAAGCAATAGTTTTAACAGATATATTCAAAAATTTTCTTTTAAACAATGAAGAGAAATCAACGTTTTATAGATAAACTCAGAATATGTTTTGAACATCAAAACACAAAGTATTAAGATGTTTCCTGTCTGGCATAATTCAGTTTCAGCTCAGGGAACAAACTATGAGGCTGTTATCATCTCTCTTGCTATTTTGTTATTTTGCTATTTTCAAGGGGTAATATGTAAATATGTATTCATGTATGTATGTATTTATATGTATATCTTTTAGATTGGCTCATAAACACAGGGAGAGAAAACACTGATTTAAAACCTCCATTACCTAGTGGCTATACCCACTCATGGGAAAGGCTCCAGGAGTCAATCCCAATGAAAAAACTTTGCAGGCAATTTGTGGTTGTATTTGGTAATGTCCTATGATTGTGCTGGATCCATATGTATTGGCATTTCCATTGGACCATTTCAATAACATAGAGAGTGGGAGACCTACTGCATGGATAAGTTTGCCATCCATGACTACCTATCCAGGCCTTGTGCACTGGGGAGACAGAAAGCAGCAGCCTAGACTCAGAACACAACTTCATTGTTTCCTAAAATTAATGGATGTCTCATCTAAATAGGATTTATTATTTACAGACATGATTTTGTTTTGTCTTAATATGAACTGACATGCAATAGTTGCTACAAAATGGCTATTATAAAATTAAAAGCTTTGTGAAATATATCAAATCATGATGTTATGACAACTTATATGAAAAAAAATCTGCTTAAAATATTTGTTCATATTGACAATTTTTTAACATAATTTTCAATTGTATTTTATTTTACAAATTTTTCATTAGTTAAATGAAGAAATGGAAAATATTGCAAACCTTTTTGTCCAGGTAAACCATCATTGCCAGGAATGCCAGATAGACCTGGTTTTCCAGGATAACCCTAAAAATAAATGGAGAAATAAATAAGATGATTATATATATATATATATATATATATATATATTGTTATGTTAACCCCATATTTGTACCCTCACCTCAGATTTTGTAAGTATATTTTAAGTACACTGTGTACATGCAATGAGACATAGGAATATTAATAACTTCTTTATTTCTTGGGAAAGCAGACTGTGAGATATATTTTTGTTTCAGGGCCAGTTCTCGAAAGAGAACCTCTCATTTCCTGTCTAGTTCTTGATCGTAGGTCAGACAAACGCTATTTGACAAAAAGTGCAAATGACCCCAACAATATTCCATGAATGACGCCTACGCATTTTTCGTAGGCTGGCACGTGACAGTTTTGTTTCGCGCATGTCAGGGTTAACAATTCTTCATTTAGCTGCTGGTCCCCGGATGAGGTAGACATCACCAGAATCTGTCTTAGCCGTTTGCAGTCCAAAGTAGGAGATGTTACCAACATCAAATTTCACCGTTTGTGGCCTGAAGGAATAGATGTCACCAAACCCAAATTTCACTGTTTGCTGCCCGGAGAAATAAGAACGTCATCACCCAAGTCAGCTACGCTTTTACAATACTAGAACATTGATAATCCCTCCCTTTTATGTTCAGAAGAAAAAGGAAACAAAAAAAAAGAGTGTATGAACATCTTTTTTTTTTGTTACACTATATTATTGGTGAAAATCATGATTAATGTCAATCATCTTCTACTGTGAGTGTTAGATTTTTTTTTTTATATATATCTTATTGTCTGCTTGCTCTATATTCCTATGATATTCGTCGCCATAATATTTGTCTAACTGATTACTCATCTCCCCATCCCTTGTGTTTTATTAAGTATCATTTATTTCTTTCTTATCTTACTTTTGCATCTTGTATATTTGCAAATAAACTATTTTTATTATAGATTCTCATATTGTCTCCTGTCATTTTGTGTCCATGCATTGTATATTTCTTGCTGTGTTTACTGGTGTCTGGATTCGGAGAATTCCCCTCCCACTGTTCTTTTCCTTTATTTTTACATTGAACCCTGGGATCTCTTATTTATTTTTTTTTTCTCGTTGCGTCCCGGCTATTGTAGTCCTAACGAAAACTCGGGCGTAACAATATGTATAAACAAACATTAGGTAAAAGAAGTAAAATATAAAAAGATTTTCGTTCATAGCATGGAAGCCTTTTGTGGCATAATGGGTCCCAGTTCAATTGGTTAGGACACCAAGATATTCAAAGTTGACTGTAAATGATTTCATCTGGGCCTGGAGTGACCAGTGTTAGAAGTAGTGGTGTCTTGGTAAACAACCAGATACTTCAGTTTCATATATAAGACCTGGGAGATATTTTTTAAAACTTTGTGTTTGATGAAGGAAATTTTTATGCAGTTAAATACAGAGTTTTATTACAATAATTGGAGAACTAAAACTTTTGGTTACATTAGCAAAATCTAGTTGTCTTCAAAACATTAATGATAGTATTTTGGTTCTTTTTTAATCAAATATTTTAATTTTTCATACAATCTTTTTGAATTGGAAAATGTAACTATTTTTTAAATGAGAATTACTAAGATATTAATGGGTTTGTAGAAATTAAAATAATCCCCAATATAAAGGCCATATGCCTCCTTGTTGGAGCTTTGTAAGAAATTGGCTAATTTATTTATAAGATGAAGTTAGACATGATGAAAAAAGAAAAAAATGAAAAAAAAGGGAATTATGAAACAAAATTTGCTTGATATATTTGCTCATGCTGCTTAAAAGTATTTGAAGAAAAGGGTTTTGAACAGAAAACATTTTATGTTTATTTTGATAGAAAAAATAGGATTGACTGATGAAATACATATTAATTGTTCCAAAGTTTTATATTTTAACTTTTAAATAAATATGTATTCAACTTTATACAAATTCATTCAAAAAATAATAGATCTGCAAATACCAAAAGCTAAAATTCCATTTGTTTTCTAACTTACAGGTTCTCCTTTCATTCCTGGAAATCCAGAAGGCCCTGCATCACCTTTTGGACCAACAGGTCCACGCTGACCAGGAAGGCCACTCAAACCTGGAGGTCCATCTTCTCCTGGGAGACCTGATTGCCCAATTCCTGGTTCTCCTTTCTCTCCTTGAATACCAGGTAAACCATCTCTTCCTAGAAACAGATTAACAGACACAATAATACTATCTTTTTTTTATAACATTGGGGCAAATGATAATATTGAATATTATAAGAAAATTATTTAAATTTAGATTTATGTTAATGATTCAATAGATAGTTTACTTAAGTAGTTTATTTCATAATACATTTATTGACATGATATGATCAATTTTAAAATGTCTTGGGTTTGTGAAAGGTTAACTGGAATATCAAGCCATTTTTCGTAATTTATCAAAGTGCTACAGACAGAAAGATAAATGATCCAACCTGGTGTTCCATCCAAGCCCCTCTCTCCAGGCAAACCAGAAAGTCCAGGTTCTCCTTTCTCGCCTTTTGATGCTACTCTTCCTGGCTCACCTTTCATACCAGAAAGACCAGGCAGACCAGACGCTCCTTTCATTCCTTTTCAAATAAAATAAAGCATTTATTACAGAAAACAAAAGCAGATTATTAAGTAACATTTCCCTTTAATTTGTGCTTTTTGAATCACAAAATTGTTTTCAATAGTCTTTCAAATTTAAGTTAAACATGAAAAATTCTCAGCCTAGCAAAGAAGTTCCAAAACAGATTCCATTTGACCACATTTTGGAAAGTGGACTGGATTGAGAACTTTTCAGCACTCTCTTGTACAAGTTTAAAAAGAGAAAAAGAAACATCAATACAGCTAAATTTATTCATTAGTTATATTTCATAGATTGTTGTGAAGACAAAGTTATTTATATTACAAGATTATCTATTTAAAAAAAAAACAATCTTTCCTGATATTTCTTTGACAAATAAACTTTACTTTCAACATTGTTTTCAGCATAACAAATTCAAATTATTCAATCACTCAAATCTTAAATGACCAAATAGATTTCATATTTCCATGAGACAAATTTATGACTAAAATTTTTCATGCTTGCATAAAAAAATGAGAAAATTCAGCTATTCATTTTATTTTTTATTCTCTGAATTTCCTTGAATTAATGTGAGTGATCTTTTAAACGATGAGGATGTATTTTGACTCCAGAAATTTAGAACAATTAAGATAAGACAAGACATATGAAGATATCTTTTACCTGGTAAACCATCAAGTCCATTTCTTCCAGGCAGTCCAATCAACCCATCATCTCCTCTCTCACCCTTAACTCCAGGTAAACCAGGGGCACCATTCCTTCCAGGCTCACCAGAAAATCCAACTGCTCCTCTTTCTCCCTTGCTCCCTATAGAAAAAAAAATCGATATAACAAACAAAAAGAATTTGTATTTTTTCACTAATATTAATTTTCTTATTTCAATAAAAACAATGTGACTTACTGCTTAACTCTCATCTGAATGGAAATATTAAAACTTTTATCAGATCTTTTATTATTAAAATCATCATTCTCCAGAATATATTCACACTAGTGCAGCAACATAAGCTGGTAAATAGTTTCTGACTACATCTGTCTAACAGGGTGGCGAGCCAATCTCTACTGCAGATGCTTGCTTGGGCACATTTGCATTTGTTTGACACCCACAGAGCCCACCTGTATCTTATAATGCAACTATAGTGAATGGGCCATAATTAATTTCTGGGTGAGAGCACATAATCTGGCATCATCAACAATTTGAACAAAGCCAGTAAACACAAATGCTTGGTCATGATGACTTGTTACTTTGGGCTAGCACAGTCATCAAAAGATTCTGTGTTGTTTCATCAACCCAATTTCACTCACAAGGCTTGTGTCAATCCATTACTTGGTTTCAAGCACTTTCTAATGGTAATGCATGCTCTAGTCATCTCTCTGACAAATTGTACAAAATTATCAAAGAAGAAAATAATTCACTACAACATAAATGTCTAGAGTGCCTTAATCACAAGGTCATTTACAGTAAATTTGCACCCTGGTTCTTACAGCATTTCACCATTCCTGGCAGATCTTCTAATATCACAGTGTGGAATATCTACTTACAAAAGTGATGGAAAGGAAAAGACTCTAAATGAAGTCAGCTGAAAAAAAAAAAAAACCCAAAAAACTTCTGAAATTCCTAGCACCCCTCTGCCGTGTGCATGTGTAGTTCTTTCAACGTAACAAAATTAGTCTGATGAAGTCCTGAAGGATGAAACATGTCACAAGTAAACTTTTTCTACTTTGTTATATATATGTATTTATTAAATTTAAAATATGTTCAAAAATAAAAATTAAAGAGCTCAATATAAATGCAAAACAAAATAAAAATTACAGAGCATAAAACGTAATAGTAACTAATAGTAATGTAACATATACTCAGCTACTTCTGCTATAACATTTTTATTTGTTATTCCTCATCCCTACCTGATGATTGTTAACTTGTATGAAACTCTGCTAGTAACAGAAATAGATAGGTATGTGTCTGAAAAGGTCTTATGTATCATATATGCACAAACATACATACAAAAATACTGAGCTTGTGAAGAATAATGAATTCACATTTAACAAAAAGGTAGCTGACCTGGTAATCCTGGTAATCCAGGTTTGCCAACTGGACCCATAATTCCTGGTTCTCCATCTAATCCAGGAAGACCAGGTTGTCCTGGCAGACCATCTTTTCCTTTGAGACCTGGTTTTCCTGGTAATCCAGGCAAACCTGAGGAACCTGGTTCTCCTTTCAACCCTGAGGAGCCTATTTAAAGCAAAACAAAACAAAAAATCTGAGGTTTTAACAATTTGCTTCAACTGTGACATTGTTTAATATTTTAGATTGAAGGCAGAGTGAAATATTGATCAAGGCATTGAGCCATGTTAACAATAGGAAGGTGAATATGTAATTTATTACTATCTTAAAGTCAAATAAATTTCCAAATCAACACAGGTAACACTTCTATACATGTCATTCCTTTTAGATATGCTTGGCAATACAAATTTGATCATGCTGTCTGATCATGGCATGGACCAAAGCATCTGGAAAAGAGAATGCTGAAAATATCTTGGCCCGACCTGCTCCCCCACCATCACTATTTCAATGATGAAATATCAGAATACTGATTTTGAAAAATGATTCAGGCCAAGAACTTTTCAGCACCCACTCATATAACAATCATTTCTTCTGAGAGAAAAAATGAATCTCTTAATGTCTTCTGTGGATAATACAAACTACATAGGCAAAATAATTCTAAAGAGTCATATAAAGAAATGTTCTTCATACATTTTGGATTTGGTTTAAGGTTATAAACCTGTGATTGTTTAGATTGAGGTCAAATTCTAGTTAACTACCAACTGCCAAATGTTGTTGCCTGAAAGTGTTTATTTGATTGTCCATCATGAAACACTGAAGGGCTGTTTTGAAATGTTTCCTCTTTTAGTAACTTATTAATCAACCATTTTGCAACAGAGAATTGGGTCAACCTAACAAGAGACCCAGAACTGGTGTGTTGTGCAGTAAGCACCAGGAGTTACATCCTCTTTCACAATTGGCTGTTGAGAGAGGACATTCTAAAGAAAGTAGTGCTGACAAAATTTGCATATGAATGATACTGGGCAGGTATTAATCAATAGTCAGCATCTTTCAGGGATTGAGAGAACTATATAACACCAAATTTTTCTGTCAAAAGAAAGTGTTATCGATGTGTGGACTGTCAGAGTTTAGTGTCAAAGTGTTAAGTAGGAGTTTTGCATTGGAGTTGGAGTTTATATTTACTTGACTTAAAAA